CCCCCCCCCCCCCCCCCACCGGTGGCGTTGTTGCGATGCCCTTTGTATCTCTTGATGTACTCAGCGCCGTCGCTGTGCGAGGAGTTGAACAGATAAATGTCCTCGTCGTTGTAACTGGCCAGCAGCTCTGCGGGGGGACGGCAGAAACGTGAGAGCTGGGACGGCCTCCCCAACTTCACCCGAGTGCTTTGGGGGGCCTGGGACTCACCAGAGCCATCATGGCTGTACACCAGGCAGGTGATGTTTGCTTTGGACTCGCTGTTTACCTAAAGGGAAAGGCACAGAGCTCAGCCTGCTCCTCCCCTGCCAGGACCCGGCGCACCCCAGCCACGTGCTCACTGATGTCGAAGGCAGAGCACGAGTCGCCGTGCCTCCCCAAGCCAAGCACAGACAGTGGAAAATTTGGGTCAAATTAGGCAAAAAAGAGAGCGCTGGGGAGCAATGGGGACATTGGGGTCAATGGGAGCATTGGGGTCAATAGGGGCATTGGGGGCACAGGGGATATGGGGCCACTTGGGTCAATGGGGTCAGTGGGGACATTGGGGTCAGTGGGAGCATTGGGGTCATTGGCGTCAATAGGGGTTTTGGGGGCATAGGGGATATGGGGCCATTGGGGTCAATGGGGGAATTGGGCATATGGGGCCATGTGGGTCCATGGGGATATGGGGCCAATGGGGCCAACTGGGGTCAATGGGGTCAGCTGGGGACATTGGGGTCAGTGGGAGCATTGGGGTCAATAGGGGCATTGGGGCCATTTGGGTCAATGGGGACATTGGGGTCAGTGGGAGCACTGGGGTCATAGGGGATATGAGGCCATTGGGGTCAATGGGGGAATTGGGCATATGGGGCCATGTGGGTCCATGGGGATATGGGGCCAATGGGGTCAACTGGGGACACTGGAGTCAATGGGGGCAGTGGGGGCAGTGGGGTCAATAGGGACGTTGGAGGCAGTGGGGGCTGTGGGGGTAAAGGGGTCAATGGGGGGAAGCGGGCAGTAGGGGCTGGCTCAGCTGCTCCAGGTGTCTCCCAGCACATGAGAGGCGCGGGCAGCGGGGGCTCACCAGGTGGTGGGGGCAGAACTTCTTCAGCACGCCGTTGTTCTCGTTCTCGTCGATCTTCCGCTGGTCGTAGATCCTGGGGGGAGGCAGACGTGTGGCGCTCACCCCAAACGCTCGTGCAAACGGGGCGCCTCAGCCCCGACCAGGCGATGCCACGTCCGACACCGCAGCCCCTCAGCGACGCTGCGCGGAGCCACGAGCGGATGGGAGAGGCAGAAACTGCAGCCCGAGCAGCTCAGTGTCAGCTCTCATCAGGTCGCCGGCTGCTCGGCGGCGCATGGCAATGTCAACGGCTGTGAGCACGCAGGCCGCAACCCGCGCTCGGGGGACGCGGCTGTCAGCACGCCACGCTGTGCCCCACGGGAGCTGTTAACCTCTGCGCTCCTCCCCGGCTCCTGGAGGAGGGATGGGGTCGGGATGGGGCACGGGGACGGCGGCCGAAAAAGGCAGCAGATGGAGCACGGGGAGGAGGAGGGGCTGCTCACTGAGGGCTCTGCAGGGAGGCGCTGCTGCTCGGCTCGCAGTCTGCTGAGCTCATGGGGGAAGGCTGGCGATGCCGCCGGCACAGAGCAGCGCCCGGCCGCGTCCTCAGGGTGCTGAGCAGCACCTCTGAGCAGCTGCAAAGCTGCTGTCAGCAGCGCTCTGTGCATCCAGGGCTCAGTGACCCCCCCCCAATAAAGGCAGCAAGCGGATGATTGGCGAAGGGCAGTGAGGAGGGATGGGGGGCAATGAGCAGCTCTGCCAAGCGCAGGTGCCGCGGTGGGGCTGCTTGCATGGAGACGCAACCTCGGCCCAAAGCAATGAGGGTCTGTGCCTCAAAACGGAGCCCTGAGCGCCTCTGAGGGCAGCGCAGCGGGGGGATGAGGGCATGAGGGGAGAGCAGCTTGGATCCCTGCAGCTGCTGATGGGCAGAGGATGGCAGGCAGTGCGGGAGAGGCGGCCGTGGGGAAGGGCTCAGCTGGGCGAACCCACAGCGCCACGGGGACGGAGCAGCCAGAGCTGTGGGGTCGTCCCAGTGCTGGCCATTATGTGAGCACGGGGAGATTTTAATTGCTGCAGCAGGGGAAGGGAGGGGGGCTGGGATTGGGGAGCCCAGTCTCGCTGAAACAAAGACCTTCCCCAGCTCCATCTCAGCTCCAAAGCGCACCAGGCCTGGCCAGGCAGCTGAGGACCGAGAGAAGATGGCTCAGAAGCTCGTTAAGGCTAAGAGAATCACTGCCTCCGGGGGAAGGGAGAGCAGGGCTTGGCAGCGGATCCCAGTGCTAAACCTCCACGGATCCAAATCCCTCTCTGTTAATCCCGCTGGTCTTGGTGCTGCTTACAGGAGAGCGGGCTTTGCAGGCATTAAGGACCGCAGCGCTGCTGGGGGGGCTCCCACTCACCTCACAAACTGATCTCTGCCTCCCACAGCAAACTGGTAGGTGTTGGCTGGGTTCACGAAGATGGTGTACAGCCCCACCTTCTTCTCCTTTTCCTTCGTCACCACCAGTTTCCTTTAAGAGACAGGGAATAACAGCAACAACGGCCGAGAGAAAAATCCACCTTGGATTCCAAACAGGGCCCAGATGGGAAACGCAGGAGCGGCGTGAGCTCTTACTCACGCTCACACAAAAAGCACACGCACACAAAACCCCCCAACCACCGCAGCTTCCAAACCGAGCTGCCTGTGAGTCAAACAGCGCAGTGAAATCATCCCCTGGCGTCGGGCTCCAAAAGCATCCAAAGGGTTTCACAGCCCAGCAGAGCCGGGCCGGCAGCAGCCAGAGTGGGGATCAGATGAACTCCAAAGCCAAAACCCTGTGCTGTTGTTTCTCCCCACCCACCTCGCCCCAACCCGCCCCACATTCCCCCCAACCCCCCCCCCCAGGAAAATATTTCGGCACACAAACCCAGGCAGCATCCTGGGGAGGGAACAGCAAGCTGCAAAGCTGCTCTTGTCCTGGTTATGAAACAGATGCGTTCGGGGCTGCAGACAAAAGCCCTCGTGCACAGAAATAAAAGCGGAGCTCCAGCAGCTGAGCTGCGCAGCTCTGTGCTCTAAGCAGGATCAGCTCTGGAATTGCTGTGCTGTGCTGGAGAAGCGCCCCGAGTCCAGGCCCAGACGGCCGCCCTGATTTGGAGGGTTGTCAGAAAGGGCCAAA